CGATGAGAAAACGGACGCCTCAGATGGGAGACTCAATAAAGAAGGCATAGCTACAGGTTTTGTGGGCTATTGAGCGTAATATGAATCGTCTGATTTTACGTTAACTGACGTGTACGACCGTGGTCATTACACTAAGAGTTCATCTGTCAACATGAACTAGTTGGCAAGACGTGCAAGTGTTCAAAATGTGGTAGAGAACTGACAGTGAAGAAGAAATACGTCTTTCAGTGCAACAACTGATCGTACTCTTACGTCCACAAAAGACGTAATATTACACCATTTTATTTCATTAAAAGTGGTTCATTAGTACCTGATATCAAAGTAAGTTCTTTCTGCTCAATATTCCGAAGGGTTCGGATTGGGTCCGTTAGGTCAGGTTCTGTTAGGTTCTGTGCATTGTCGTTTTCTTTTCTTCTTTAATATCATACAAATAACATCTCCAAAAATTTTGGTGCAATTCTATAAAGTTATTTGGTTGCTAGCCGTCTCCTCCGCCAATACTAAAATTATGAGAAATAAAACACATTTTAGTACAGAAATGAAATTAGTATATGGTCATACACTTAAGTTATTGTACCATTATTTTACGTTTTCTCATAAAATGGTAATTCTTCAAAGAGAGCCATAATTGTTGAAAGGGTAACTATGCAAGACTGAAATAATATTTTAATCAATATGATACTATAATAGCGTCTTTAATTACTGTGCATTTTGCCTTGTTTTAGCCTCTATATATGAATTGTGTTTATATAAAGAAGTTAACTTTGGTTAATGGCTCCTGGAAATATACACCTGACAGCCTTGTCGAACTTGTCGGCTATCCTCGGTCAAGTTGCCTTACTGTTTAGTGTTTACCATTGTTGTTTACCCGGCCTGAGTCGGCATACAGGAAACTGTACATTATACTCCCACGGCCTACGAGCAAGGTATACCTATAATGTCTAGAATCATGATGAACTGTATAGTTTATAAACATGCTTATCCAATTGTAAACATGTATGACAATTCTACTGAATAATAATAATAAGGTTGTTGTATTTTTTTTATTTTTTTTATTATTTATTATTTTTTTTTTTTATTATTATTGACCAGAATGGTTCCACATCGTTAATAGCACTTTTTTTTAACGGGATATTAACATTATTTACCTAATGGCCACCCATGCTGAGGAAGGAGGCCAATGGCCTGTATATGATCCCTCCGTTGTCCTTGATAGTCCTGTCAAGGGCTATTTTAAGGCTCAATACTGTTATTGGTTGATTCCACAACTAGGGTTTGTAGACCGTCCCATTGGTCTATCACCTTCTGTGTGAAATTGTATTTTCTTATGTTCGTTCTGCATGATCGCTTGGCGAGAGTTTATAGTTATGGACCGGGTTCACGTTTTAAATCCTTTCAGGGTTTTGAATGCTTCAGTGAAATCTGCTCTGCTGTACCTAGTCTGAAGGGTAATTATCCTAAGGCCCTCAGTCTACTTGGATAATGGAGATGACATAGTGTTCCGGAATCATCTTATTCGCTCTGTGTTGCACCTTTTTTAGGTATGTTAAGTCTTTCTGGAGGTAGGGTTTCCATGCCTGTATGCAGTAATCCAGACTGGGACGCACTGTCGGCCACAGTTCCACCTGTTACAGTGGTTGGCGCGTTAAGTGAGATGGCAGCAACACTGTGTTTGTTTACATCGTCGTAAAACTCCTGAAATGGCACTAAGGAAACTTACAATAGTAACCAGATGCTAAATATCTTTCCACATTTATTTCTGAATAAAAGCAGGAATTTCTTGCCCTTAAAACATACTGTGATGCTTTGATAAGACTGTGCTTGGTCAGGTGTTCGAAGATGGTATCACTCAGAATTTTCTCAGAGTTTCATTTATGGGATGCTAGGCCTGTAGTTTTCTGCTGTACTTTTTCTACTCTTCCTGCTAACTTGGGTGACGTTGGCTGATTTCCAAACCTTAAGCACTTTTCCTAGATCAAAGAATTTCCTGAATATAATTCTTATTGGAGTACAAATATCGGTTGCCACCTCCTTTATATATAATGTAAATCCGTTACACATCAGTAAAATGAAACACGCCATTAGGTTTAATTTTAACCTGAATGGTCCAAATTTGGTAATGTCCAGCAGTCCGTTCCTGTTAAAATCAGGCAATTCGGTGATGGCTTCTTTACATTCACCAGGGTGCGTACTATCAGGTAGAGGTAATGACCTACGTGTAGTGTCATCAGTCAATTCGAAGTTGTTCTGCCTTTCTACCTCACCAGATATTCATTCAACCTTGCAGGAGGAAGAGCGGGTGGCTTATCACCTGGATCTGGAGGTGCCTTAAATTTTGGTTATCAAACTTGTATCAGAAATAAAATTTGTAACAGACGTTTTAAACACTGATAAGGCTCAAGGCCCAGAGGAGATTTTCGTGTTTGTCCTCAAAAAAGTTTTCTATGGAGTTTTCTCTTGTGTCCAGACTCTTTACGCTTTCTCTTCACATTTTTGTCTTCCCCTTTTCATGGAGAGAAGCACCTTAACTTTTGTCTTTATTCAAGACACATCTTTCAACATCTCAGGGGCTACGGAGGCCACCGCCTCCGCTGTGTTACGCTCCAACAACCACCACCATCAACAACACTTACCATCATCAACAACCACCACCATCAACAACCACCACCATCAATAACCACGACCACCAATAACCACGACCACCAACAACCACGACCACCAACAACCACGACTACCAATAACAACGACCACCAATAACAACGACCACCAATAACCACGACCATCAACATCATCAACAATCAACAACATTGACCACCAACAACCACAACCACCAACAACCACGACACCAACAACATTGACCATCAACATCACTGACCACCAGCACACAAGTGTCCAGGACAACAACAACAACTTTAAACGCCTTGGTTAAGGAAGTTCAGGTGACGGGCAAGTCGAAGGGAATGATTGAAACCCGCCTTTTGACGTATTCAATATTTATTGATGTGGTCAAAACCTGCAGAGGAGAAGGCGTTCATAATATTACAAGGTGATCCATCTGATACATAATTAGTTAGTCTCACATAATTTTATCTTAATTACAATTTATTAAACAGTGACATAACACAAAGTTCATAACTCTATTAATCTTAGCTTGCTTCATTCTGCATTGTCTTATTACTCCAGGTTAGGCAGAAACGAGTAGGCGTAATTAGTCAACAATATTTCAGTACCGAGGGATATGTCATCACTTAGGCTGTACTTACAAGTGCGGGTCAATGCAGATCAGTGTGGTGTTCCAAGAGACAACAGTACTGCGTAAATTGTCCCAGCACAAGTTCTCGGACAGGGATTTGAGTCGGTGTTCACCAGTGCGAGTAGAAGGCTGGTCTTCACAGCATCACTAGAGAGGGCGATCTGTCTCATGGAGGAGCGGGCAGCCACCGCCACAAGTCGAAGACAGTCCACTCAGCAGAACCAGGACTTGTCTCTAAACACTTCTACATCTGGCGAGGTCACAGGTCGAAAGATTTAATGGCATCACATGCCAGCACTGTAGCTGAAGCCAGCGGCAATAACAACAACAGTAGTGGGACTGCCTCCTCAGGAGATGTTAATGTGGTGGACCATCACAGCTGTATGACGCTTGACTGTGTTGTGTTGAGGTTCAGGCGTGGTGATGCTGTACTGCACACATCATTGTCATTCCTAAAAATCCACTTTAATTCATATTACGCTACATAATATTCAAATCCACCGCGCTTGTAGAATCTCAGGAGAGGCGTGTTTTCCCATCCGTCTTACACTCGGGATCACTCCGAGTAAGTCCCTCCTTCGAACACAGTTGTCACTACGTTTATTCCATTCTCTACCGGCAAATGTAATCTTGAATTCATCTGTGTAAATCAACTTTAGTAATTCGCCAGACCCTTGTCAACTGAGGGTCATCCTTGAATGAGTAACAGTTAGATTGTTTGTAAATTCTGTCATTGCGTGAGTAGCGATCGCTGGCAACTCATGGGTATATAAACCAGTGCGAGGCGGGAGGAGCAAACCAACCGTATCATCTTTCACCTTCGTTCTCAGATCGAGGGTGGCCTTAATTGAAACCCACCTGTCGCTCGGAACCGGTGGATACCCAGCAGTGGTCAATATCGGAGTGATGGTGCTGATTCGGCATGATTTATCAGCTTCACTCTACCTCGTGGGCCGAGGGCCCCAGACCTGCCTGGTGTCGGAGTGTAACCGACCACAACAACAGTTGTTAGAGGCGCCAGTGCTATACCCTGGGACAGGCCTTGGAGTTATGGTCCACAGTGTGGTTGTATGTGTTTGTTAATAATTACCCCATGTTGGGTGGTGGACCCATGTCGGTGTTTGTATCAGTATTAGTGTATTGTGAGTAAGGACAAGGAACTGGTCCTGCTATGTAATGTAATGTGACACCAGTAAGAGGGTGCACGGTAAGAGTGTAATATCTGAGTAATTGCTGTTGAGTAAATAAGAAATACGGAGTCTGCAATAAGCCCAGGAGTTGAGCCTGGTAGTTTGATTTTATAGTAATAAACTTGTTCTTTAAGTATTTTAGGAGTATTCATTTCTCCCACAGTAGTTACCTTTATTTCCGTCCAAGTGACGATGATATCAGAATTACACTACCCATGTGCCTAGACCATCGACATGCTACCAACAAGAACTGAGGTTAGGTAGTATCAAAAATGAACTGAAGTAAGTAGAAGGAACATTTGAAAGAACTAAGACATGTTGTGGCTTCACCCTTCTTTCCCCTTATCGATCTGGTCAATGAAAAACCTAACCCAATGCCTAGTCCACTCTGCCCGCTACCTAACGAGTGACATACTGTCCAGAGGGGGTCTGGTGGCAGCGACCCTTAGAAATTGAGATTAGATTTAAGTATTCCCCCTTAGGATTAGTGACCCCAGTCTTGCAGTATAATGCATTAACATGTCTTATTGACATACTAAAGGGTAGTAACGATGGTGTTTGTGTCGTCATTTTACTATATTATCAGCAACACTGAAGTTCTCTATCACTAATAAAACAAAAACGGCAATAGTTCCGGAAAATAAAGTTGTATAGTAATAGTGAGTCCCGTGTAAACATATGATGGTGGGTGAGAATGGTACGGCTGGAGCGCAGTGTTAACTCTGAGGTGGTGGTTTGTAGTGGGCATACACGGATGAAATGGGATCATACAGTGGATGAGTGTTGGATGACAAATGAGGAAATGGAGAGATCCACCTGGTCTGAGCTATTAACAGTTAAATGACAGGTGCCCAGCAATGTGTTAACAGAGACAACAGCCATCCAACGATCATGTTACTTCCCTGGAGGCACCACCACTAGGCCAATTATATGCCTAGCATTCTTTCTCATAGATAGCTGGATCGAGGTCCACTATAAACTGTCCGTTAGAGCAAGTGGTGTCGGAATCTATGTGGCTAAGAATAGAGGGGTTGAGAACAATCCAGGCGATGTCGCAGCCACAGGTGAGAGGGTTAACTGAGGAGTAAGAGAGCTTAGGTTAGTTTAACAAGAAGCAAGGTTGGTTGGCTTACCTTTAAACTATAATGTTATCTATGTAAGGCTGTTACTAGAGGAAGTCTTCGTTATCAAAAGAAGAAAGTTGGTTGGTGGGAGTAAGATTACCTGGGAGAGTAAGGTTACCTGGAGCCTCTCGTAGTGTTAAGAAATTAAGTAAATATAATATCATAAAATTAACACACAATAAATTCATTGTCTCTCAACCATACATGAATTCTTCACATCAGAAACTTTTGTGGGTTGTGTTAGAAAAATTAATTAACAAAGGAGAAAATGTGCAGATGCTGAGAAAGAGACAGAAATCGCTGAATATGAATTGAAACTGGAGTACAATTCACAAATGTGGAATTTGTGTGGTAGTTCAAGAAATGTTATACTTTCCCACGGGTTGTTCTGTGTTCACGTCACAGTTGTCGCCATTAAGCAGTATCCACCATTGTCTCTCTCTATCCCTTCACTACTGGGACGTCACTGTTAATATTTCATTTAGCCAACGCCAGACGATTTTATTCACCAGAGAGGGGACTCCGCTCACACGTGGTAACATTTATATATTTTTTAGAGTCTATGTCCCATAACCCTTTAGAGGACAGGAGTTTTACTCAACTGAATAAAATCGTGTGGCTCTAGCCAGAATAAAACGCTTAAGTTCACCACTGCCCTCTGAAGAATTAAATACAGATAAAAAGGTAAGGAAAAAGATTTTTAATTCATACCGGTATACCTTTGCAATATTTCCTGTGGTTTAATACAGTTACAATAAGAGTATTCATTTAATTGGCAAAGGAAAATTTTAGCTGTCATGGAAATGGTAAAATTATCTGTGTGGAAACCCTGCCACGATTACATGTGGAGGACTGGGTTACCTTGAGCTTTTTTTTTTTTGGTTTATTTTTTTATTTATTGGCTTTTTTTTACTTTCCGCTTCGGAGAAGAAAGAAAACTTGTGGCTTTTTAACTCCCTCTCTTATTCCTGACGGGTTTTTCCTTCACTGTCCTGTGTTAGTACAGGAGGAAACCAGAGATGTTTGGTAGGATCACACTGGATAACTGTTCTCTCCTCACATCTGACACGAGGATTGACCCGGGACACAGAGGTGACAGGCAAGTGTGATGCCCCTGCTGTATATGTGTGTTTGGCCATGTCCCATGTGCAAGCGTCCTGCGGCTTCGAGCGACCTGGGTATAGACGCGCGACCTACTTTCCAAAGCGACCTATGTCCCACCTGCCAGCGTAAGCATGCTGTCTTCGCATCACACACGTTTGCTGGTATTTTTAGAAAATAATGCTTTTCAACGTGGTACCTGCAGTGGTACTCAGGAAGAAAACATCCCATATATCAGAGGAGGATGAAAGTAGGCGAATTTCACCATCTCTACAAGGAACTTTGCCCAGATCCAAAGAAGTTTCACGATTACACCAAAATGTATTCAGATTGAGGAAGAGGCCTACCCACTCCGTGTATATTTATTGAAACCCTATTCTAGGAATGCTCTGAGCAAAGAAAAAATAATAATTACAGATTGTCACGTGCCAGGCGTGTACAAGTAAATGGAGAATTTTAAATACAGCTATTGAAACAAAGGTAGACACTGCTGTCGACATCGTAAAGTGTGCTACCCTTTTCCATAATATCATCATTGACACAGAAGGTCTGGACGCCAAGTATGATGCAATTTAAGAATGTTCAGTTGAGAATAACACAATACTCTAGAGAGTAGAGTCTGGAATAAACAATGCTTCATATTCTTCTGCAAAGAATGTGAGAAACATTTTGCAGCTATTTTAATAGTCCACAATAATTTATTTATTGACAAGATGAAGCTGTTAACAGTCGAAAATGAATGTATAGCCTTTAGTTTAGGTGTAGAATGCGAGGACTCGCGCGGCTGAGGAAGCGACGACCAAACATTTGATTGCTGTTTCCAAGTCGTGCGTCTAGTTCCATTTTCCTGGTCGCTCGCGAACGCTTCACGCGTTTTCGTATGACACATCAAAAACACATTTGTTTGTTCGCTACACCAATGTAGCGCGTTCATTCGTGTGGTCGCTCGATGCCACAAGACGATCGCACATGGGACGTAGCCTTATGTGTGTATATAAATGTTGGATGTGTATGTACGTGTTGTTTATATGCATAATTGTTGAATGTGCACATTAGTGTTAAATATACACTATACATATTGTCGGATGTGTACTCACAACGAAAGTCAAGATAAACTCCGAACATGATCAGCGGCTGCCATACCTCCTCCACCAACTCCGTCAACTCGTTGCTGTAGAGGTACACAAAGTCGCCACTTATCAGACCTGCCAAAACAAAACACCTTAGTCAGATGTCATTGATTGTAACGCCTGAATATAGAATGTTTGAAAATCATCAACCTTCACCAGACATTCGTCTCTCTAACACGATAAAATTGTTTCATGACATAACCCAACTCTCTCCTCCACAGTTAATTATACGACTAATATTTTTACTAATAGTTATTGAACACAAGAGCATCATCAACAAACAACGTGGTGAACCACCATAGTTAGGCTGTACCTCACAAACAGTCTCCAAGTATCAGTATTTACCCATCCATGACAATACTGAACAATACAACCTTCCTTGCCTCCTGAACAACACGCACACCACAGTTTGCTCTGCCAGAAACAAAATCTTACTGACACTAACTCACCATCTGTCTCACTATAACTACTGACAGGTGTGTTGAACAACTCACCATCTGTCTCACTATAACTACTGACAGGTGTGTTGAACAATTCACCATCTGTCTCACTATAACTACTGACAGGTGTGTTGAACAATTCACCATCTGTCTCACTATAACTACTGACAGGTGTGTTGAACAACTCACCATCTGTCTCACTATAACTACTGACAGGTGTGTTGAACGATTCACCATCTGTCTCACTATAACTACTGACAGGTGTGTTGAACAACTCACCATCTGTCTCACTATAACTACTGACAGGTGTGTTGAACAACTCACCATCTGTCTCACTATAACTACTGACAGGTGTGTTGAACAATTCACCATCTGTCTCACTATAACTGCTGACAGGTGTGTTGAACAATTCACCATCTGTCTCACTATAACTACTGACAGGTGTGTTGAACAATTCACCATCTGTCCTCAACTATAACTGCTGATTGGTGTGTTGAACAACTCACCATCTGTCTCACTATAACTACTGACAGGTGTGTTGAACAATTCACCATCTGTCTCACTATAACTGCTGACAGGTGTGTACTTGATAATTAACGTCAGGCCATGTTGAGCTGCTGAGAGACAGGTGTGAGAGGCACAAGTGGTTCTTGTATCAACGAAATAATACAAGGTATCAGGTTAGTTTATAGCAGTAACGTTAAATAGGCGTATAAGTCTTCACCTGAGAAAGAGTTGGCGGCAACATTACTGATCATGTTGTTGTTGAGGTAGACTTTTGTTTTTCCAGCACCCATCTGCACGGCGCCCTCAGTCAGCTGACCCAAGTTGTTAAACGACAGTTGCAAGGTCGACAGGTGAGGGTGGCCGAAGAACGTGCCTATGGAATAAGGTTAAATATTCCTGTGCTGATGAGGCGTTTCCAATCTGAGCAGTATTATATACACACACACACACACATATATATATATATATATATATATATATATATATATATATATATATATATATATTTATATTTATATATATATATATTATATATATATATTTATATTTATATATATATATATATATTTTATATATATATATATATTTATATATATATATATATATATATATTATATATTTATATATATATATATAAATATATATATATATATTTTATATATATATATATATATATATATATATATATGTGTGTGTGTGTGTGTGTGTGTGTGTGTGTGTGTGTGTGGTGGTGGGTGAAGGTGTGTCGAGGGTGAAGGTGTCTGGTGACTGAAGGTGTACAGGGAGAAGGTGTGTGGTGGGTGAAGGTGTGTGGTGGGTGAAGGTGTGTTGTGGGTGAAGGTGTGTGGTGACTGAAGGTAGAAAGTGTGTTGGGGAGAAGGTGAGTGGTGGGTGAAGGTGTGGTGGGTGAAGGTGTGTGGTGACTGAAGGTGTGTTGTGGGAGAAGGTGTGGTGGATGAAGGTGTGTGGTGGGTGAAGGTGTGGTGAGTGAAGGTGTGTGGTGACTGAAGGTGTGTGGTGAGTGAAGGTGTGTGGTGAGTGAAGGTGTGTGGTGAGTGAAGGTGTGTGGTGGGTGAAGGTGTGTGGTGGATGAAGGTGTGTGGGTGGGTGAAGGTGTGTGGTGGGTGAAGGTGTGTGGTGGGTGAAGGTGTGTGGTGACCGGAAGGTGTGTTGTGGGAGAAGGTGGTGGGTGAAGGTGTTGTGGGTGAAGGTGTGTGTGGTGACTGAAGGTGAAGGTGTGTTGTGGGAGAAGGTGTGGTGGGTGAAGGTGTGTGGTGGGTGAAGGTGTGTGGTGACTGAAGGTGTGTTGTGGGTGAAGGTGTGGTGACTGAAGGTGAAGGTGTGTTGGGGAGAAGGTGTGTGGTGGGTGAAGGTGTGTGGTGGAGAAGGTGTGTGGTGGGTGAAGGTGTGTTGTGGGTGAAGGTGTGTGTGGTGACTGAAGGTGTGTTGTGGGTGAAGGTGTGTGTGACTGAAGGTGTGTTGTGGGAGAAGGTGTGTGGTGGGTGAAGGTGTGTCGAGGGTGAAGGTGTCTGGTGACTGAAGGTGTGTTGTGGGAGAAGGTGTGTGGTAGGTGAAGGTGTGTTGTGGGTGAAGGTGTGTGGTGACTGAAAGTGAAGGTGTGTTGTGGGAGGTGTGTGGGTGGTGAAGGTGTGGTGGGTGAAGGTGTGTGTGGTGAGTGAAGGTGTGTGGTGAGTGAAGGTGTGTGGTGGATGAAGGTGTGTGGTGGGTGAAGGTGTGTGGTGAGTGAAGGTGTGGTAAGTGAAGGTGTGTGTGGTGACTGAAGGTGTGTGGTGAGTGAAGGTGTGTGGTGAGTGAAGGTGTGTGGTGGGTGAAGGTGTGTGGTGAGAAGGTGTGTGGGTGAGTGAAGGTGTGTGGTAAGTGAAGGTGTGTGGTGACTGAAGGTGGTGGTGAGTGAAGGTGTGTGGTGAGTGAAGGTGTGTGGTGGGTGAAGGTGTGTGGTGGGTGAAGGTGTGTGGTGGGTGAAGGTGTGGTGGGTGAAGGTGTGTTGTGGGTGAAGGTGTGGGTGACTGAAGGTGTGTGGTGACTGAAGGTGTGTTGTGGGAGAAGGTGTATGGTGGGTGAAGGTGGGTGAAGGTGTGGTGGGTGAAGGTGTGTGTGGTGGGTGAAGGTGTGTGGTGGTGAAGGTGTGTTGTGAGTGAAGGTGTATGGTGGGTGAAGGTGTGTGTGGTGGGTGAAGGTGTGTGTGGTGAGTGAAGGTGGTGGGTGAAGGTGTGTGGTGGGTGAAGGTGTGTGGTGGTGAAGGTGTGTGGTGAGGAAGGTGTGTGGTGAGGAAGGTGTGGTGGTGACTGAAGGTGTGTGGTGACTGAAGGTGTGTGGTGACTGGAAGGTGTGGTGACTGAAGGTGTGTGGTGACTGAAGGTGTGTGGTGAGTGAAGGTGTGTTGTGGGGTGAAGGTGTGTGGTGACTGAAGGTGTGTGGTGACTGAAGGTTGTGTGGTGACTGAAGGTGTGTGGTGAGTGAAGGTGTGGTGAGTGAAGGTGTGGTGAGTGAAGGTGTGTGTGGTGAGTGAAGGTGTGTGGTGAGGAAGGTGTGTGTGGTGAGTGAAGGTGTGTGGTGAGGAAGGTGTGTGGTGAGTGAAGGTGTGTGGTGGGTGAAGGTGTGTGGTGAGTGAAGGTGCGTGCGAGTGAAGGTGTGTGGTGAGTGAAGGTGTGTTGTGGGGTGGATGCGTGTGGTGAGGAAGGTGTGTTGTGGGTGAAGGTGTGTTGTGAGGAAGGTGTGTGGTGGGTGAAGGTGTGTGGTGAGTGAAGGTGTGTGGTGAGGAAGGTGGGTGACTGAAGGTGTGTGGTGAGGAAGGTGTAGTTGTGGGTGAAGGCGTGTGGTGAGTGAAGGTGTGTGGTGAGTGAAGGTGTGGTGAGTGAAGATGTGTGGTGGGTGAAGGTGTGGTGGTGAGTGAAGGCGTGTGGTGGGTGAAGGTGTGTAGTGAGGAAAGTGTGTGGTGGGTGAAAAGTGTGTGGTGAGTGAAGGTGTGTTGTGGTGAAGGTGTGTGGTGATTGGAAGGTGTGTGGTGGGTGAATGTGTGGTGAGGAAGGTGTGTGGTGAGTGAAGGTGTGTGGTGACTGAAGGTGTGGTGGTGGGTGAAGGTGTGTGGTGGGTGAAGGTGTGTGTGGTGACTGAAGGTGTGTAGGAGCAGTGATGTGGTGGGTGAAGGTGTGTGGTGAGTGAAGGTGTGTGTGAGTGAAGGTGTGTGGTGAGTGAAGGTGTGTGGTGACTGAAGGTGTGTTGTGGGAGAAGGTATGTGGTGGGTGAAGGTGTGTGGTGGGTGAAGGTGTGTTGTGGGTGAAGGCTGCGTGGTGACTGAAGGTGTGTGGTGAGTGAAGGTGTGTGGTGACTGAAGGTGTGTGGTGGGTGAAGGTGGTATAGCTGTGTGTGTGGTGAGTGAAGGTGTTGTGGGAGAAGGTATGGTGGGTGAAGGTGTGTGGTGGGTGAAGGTGTGGTGAGTGAAGGTGTGTGGTGGTGAAGGTGTGTGTGGTGAGTGAAGGTGTGTGGTGAGTGAAGGTGTGTGGTGACTGAAGGTGTGTGGTGGGTGAAGGTGTGTGGTGAGTGAAGGTGTGTGGGATACAGGTGGTGGGTGAAGGTGTGTGGTGAGGAAGGTGTGTGGTGAGTGAAGGTGTGTGGTGGGTGAAGGTGTGTGGTGGGTGAAGGTGTGGTGAGTGAAGGTGTGTGGTGACTGAAGGTGTGTGGGTGAAGGTGTGTAGGTGAAGGTGTGTGGTGAGTGAATGTGTGGTGGGTGAAGGTGTGTGGTGACTGAAGGTGTGTTGGGAGAAGGTGGTGGTGGGTGAAGGTGTGTGGTGAGTGGAAGGTGTGGTGGGTGAAGGTGTGTGTGGAGGGTGAAGGTGTGGTGGGTGAAGGTGTGTGGAGGGCGAAGGTGTGTGGTGAGTGAAGGTGAGGTGATCTAGGTGCGGTTGTGGGTGAAGGTGTGTGGTGAGTGAAGGTGTGTTGTGGGTGAAGGTGGTGACTGAAGGTGAAGGTGTGTTGTGGGAGAAGGTGTGTGGTGGTGAAGGTGTGTGGTGGGAGAAGGTGTGTGGTGGGTGAAGGTGTGTTGTGGGTGAAGGTGTGTGGTGACTGAAGGTGTGTTGTGGGTGAAGGCAGGTGGTGACTGAAGGTGTGTTGTGGGAGAAGGTGTGTGGTGGGTGAAGGTGTGTCAGGGTGAAGGTGTCTGGTGATGAAGGTGTGTTGTGGGAGAAGGTGTGTGGTAGGTGAAGGTGTGTTGTGGGTGAAGGTGGTGACTGGAAAGTGAAGGTGTGTTGTGGGAGGTGTGGCCAGGGGAGAAGGTGTGTGTGGTGGATGAAGGTGTGTGGTGGGTGAAGGTGTGTGGTGAGTGAAGGTGTGTGGTAAGTGAAGGTGTGGTGACTGAAGGTAGGTGAGTGAAGGTGTGTGGTGAGTGAAGGTGTGTGGTGGGTGAAGGTGTGTGTGGTGAGGAAGGTGTGTGGTGAGTGAAGGTGTGTGGCAAGTGAAGGTGTGTGGTGACTGAAGGTGTGTGGTGAGGAAGGTGTGTGGTGAGTGAAGGTGGTGGTGGGTGTGAAGTGTGTGTGGTGGGTGAAGGTGTGTGGTGGGTGAAGGTGTGGTGGGTAAAGGTGTGTGTGGGTGAAGGTGTGTGGTGACTGAAGGTGTGTGGTGACTGAAGGTGAGCTAGGAAGGTGCATGGTGGGTGAAGGTGGGTGAAGGTGTGTGGTGGGTGAAGGTGTGTGGTGGGGTGAAGGTGTGTGGTGGGTGAAGGTGTGTTGTGAGTGAAGGTGATGGTGGGTGAAGGTGTGTGGTGGGTGAAGGTGTGTGGTGAGTGAAGGTGTGTGGTGGGTGAAGGTGTGTGGTGGGTGAAGGTTGTGGTGGGTGAAGGTGTGTGGTGAGGAAGGTGTGTGGTGAGGAAGGTGTGTGGTGCTGAAGGTGTGTGGTGACTGAAGGTGTGGTGATGAAGGTGTGTGTGATCTGAAGGTGTGTGGTGACTGAAGGTGGGTGTGGTGAGGAAGGTGTGTGGTGAGTGAAGGTGTGTGGTGAGTGATGGTGTGTGGTGAGGAAGGTGTGTGGGTGAGTGAAGGTGTGTGGTGAGTGAAGGTGTGTGGTGAGTGAAGGTGTGTGGTGGGTGAAGGTGTGGTGGTGAAGGTGTGTGGTGATGAAGGTGTGTGGTGAGTGAAGGTGTGTGTTGTGGGTGAAGGTGTGTGGTGAGTGAAGGTGTGTTGTGGGTGAAGGTGTGTTGTGAGTGAAGGTGTGTGTGGTGGGTGAAGGTGTGTGGTGAGTGAAGGTGTGTGGTGAGTGAAGGTGTGTGGTGACTGAAGGTGTGTGTGGTGAGTGAAGGTGTGTGGTGAGTGAAGGTGTGTGGTGAGTGAAGGTGTGTGTGGGTGAGTGAAGGTGGTGAGT